AGACTGTTCCATAATTACACCCTGCATATGTATACGATTATAATTGCTATATGTTTATAATAGCATAACATATGCTATATATTTATAATCGCTCGATTCACAACCCTTGTCATCGAGTGTCCGATAAAACATACGCATAGCATAGCACTAAAAAAAAGCGACGCCACGTACAATGCATTAATTATTCAGAAATATATTCGCAACATCGTTCGGATTCGTACGAATCGTGCAGAGAGAAAAACAAAGTGGCAAATCGAGCGAACGAATTATAGAGGAACGTAGACGGCCACGGAAAAATCGGCGACGACAGAAAAGGGTTGGCGCGTCTAATCGCGACGAATACTTTCCGGCCGGTCGTTCCATTAGACGATAATTGACTGTCAAACTCGCGGGCACATCGTGCAGCCGGTCGTTCGACTGTAATCCCAGAAACGGGTTAATTGCGTTATGGCTGTCATTATCTCGGTCGCTGAGCATGCAGTTCTCGAGCGGGCTGACGGGAGGGCGAGAGCGGGTGGCCCCCGGGGGTGGGCGAGAGAGGGCGCGCACGTAATCCCGGAAACGTTCCGCTGAAACGTTTACTTCTAAACGTGCGGGGCAAGAGAAATTCACCCCTCGCAGTCTGGGTTATTTGATTTCCCGGCGCGCGGGGGTGGTTCTCTTTTCTGTCCCTCCCTCCCTCTCTCTCTCTGCTCCCTCTCTCCCTCTCTCTCTGCTCTCTCTCTCTCTCTCTCTCTCTCTCTCTCTCTCTCTCTCTCTGGCTCCCTTTTACGGTCAACGGTGAACAGAGTCCGCCACTTTTGCCGCGACTCGCTCCGAAAAGAGTTTGAAAGCGAGCGGACGCGGCCAGATCCGCGGCCGTCAAAGCGAGCCGGAGAGGAAAAGCGGCGCGGATACCTCGCGAATCAGCCCGGTTGTCGCCGAGCCGGCCGGATCCTTGGATAGGCTCCTCTCTTCTGGCTTTTGACGGGGGCCCGGCGTTAATTAACGCGCTCGCGCGCTACTTCTTCGCGTCGGCGACGCGGTTTCTCCGCTCCGGTTTCGTTCCTCGTTCCGGGGAATCCAGCCTCGTGGAATACTAGCGTTGTCCTTCTTTCGGCGCTTTTCGTTTTTTCTTTTTTTTTACTGCCGCGCTGCCACCGTATCGCTGACACGGTATTTTTTGTCTCGAGCGTGGAACTCGATTTTCGTCGCGGCGTACGGACAAATTCTCTCCAATTGTCCTTCGATTGGTGAACGAAAATAGACAATTTAGGGAGAGCCGATACGGTTTTTGATATCGTCGCGGCTCGTTTTTATGGTTGTCGACGATCGTCGCATTCGATAGGAACGGCTCGAGATTATTCAGATTATCCGGATTATGCGCGTTATTGTTGGAATATATGATTTCGTCGATCGGACCGTTAATTTGATTTAATAATACTGTGAACGGTAACCGGATTTTTGATGAATACATTAAATTAAATGCAAGAATAATAGTATTGCGGATACGGTAAATCCTGTCTAATTCGAAATTTCAGTGACGATCTCTACTGTTTTTTTTTCTTTTTTTTCTGTGGATAGATGGACTAATAATTAATAGTCGTGTTTTCTAATTATGGTAAATTCTTCCTAATTCTTCTTCAGCTTTTAAACAAAAATGGACAATTTGGGAGCAGAAGATACGATTATTCGAGTCTCACGGCTCCTTTTTATAGTTACTGACTGTTAACGACTATAAAAAACGTGCCGCGAGGGTTGGAAAATCGTATCTTCTCTTCCAAAATTGTCCACTTTTTGCACGATTTCTGCGTTAATTAGGGAGAATTTACTATACAGGATTCAAGGGGGCTATACAAGGCTCAAAAGGGTTACATAAGGTTCAGAAGGGTTACACAGGGTTCAAAAGGGTTACACAGGGTTCAAAAAGGCTACACAGAGTTCAAGAGGGTTATACAGGGTTCAAAAGGGTTACACAGGGTTCAAAAGAGTTACACAGGGTTCAAAAGAATTACACAGGGTTCAGAAGAGTTACACAGGGTTCAAAAGGGTTACACAGGGTTCAAAAGGGTCACACAGGGTTCAAGTGAGTTATACAGGATTCAAAAGAGTTATACAGTGTTCAAAAGGGTCACACAGGGCTCAAGTGGGTTATACAGAATTCAAAAGCGTTACACAGGGTGTATAGTAATCATTTTTCCTTGTACCAGCAGTGTATACTACAAATAAAAGTAAAACCGAACTGCTTTTCTCAGTTAAATTGTCCCAAAATTTCTGTTCATCCAAAAAAACGAAGCTCTAAATCAATAAAATCACTGTTCAACAAGTAAAAACTAATAGATAGAATCACATTTGGAACTCTACGAAGTATATAGAACGATCTAGCCTCGCTAAAAAGATAAAAATCACGCGATGTTCCAAATATTTTCAAATATTACGAAAAGTAACGAATTAATAGACGAGACAATTTTTACCGAAGGGCGCCAGCAAAATATGATACATCGAAAGGTCCGCAAATGCTTTCTCGAGAATTCACATCGGAAATAACAAATCAAAACAGTACAACAACGCAAGATCAAACAAATTAATCACAGAAATTACTCGCCAGCAACAAAGAGATTCTACAAAATCGCGGACACCGTCTGAAATCAACGACAACTTCGACATCTCGACGACATTAACACCAAACCAACCGACCTGTAACGATGATCAGCGTGCATAGACTCATAAGAGTGAAAAGATAGAATTCACTTGAATTTTGTAAAGTTTTAATTACGAGACTTCTTTCAATAACATAATTTATTCGATCGTTTTCCACGAAGAAGTCTCCAAAGTTTGTAGTATCGTAAAATAAAAAAAATCAGTCATTTCGATCGTGGTAGGTTTAGTGTTAAATTAGCGTCAATCAAGACTACTAACGGCGCTCTAAAAGAACAGAGACACAGACACCTTCATCAGCGTCGAAATCGCATCCCATATTTTTGCCGGAAATTCCAAACAACGCATTCACGGACTGCGTTCTGCACCCTTTTCTGCTAACATCGTCTGCTCCATTCTCATACTTCGCGATCCACGCAGACCCGCCTCGAGGATCCTAATCGACGCGCGCGCGTCCCGAACGTACTCGAAAAATCGGAAAAAATTCCCTCCACCGGAGAGAAACCTTCCGCTTTGGAATAACGGTGCCACGTGAGCGAGCATATTTTTCCGCGGTCGTGTTTTCCTACGTTCGGGAGCAATGGGTGCCGCCTCAGGTGAGAATGTCCGACGGTATATCGTCCGCGGTACACGAGAGTTAATCTCTCTTGGGTGGCGGCGCGCTTGGCATGGTAAACGGGGCCGGTTCGACGGGCAAACGTCGGGCGAGTTTAACGACGCGTCGGTCGTCGCAACGGCGTCGGTTTGTTTGCGAAGATCCGCCGCGCGATTCTTCGATGCGTCGCGGCGACGGAGTCGGTGTCTCGGCAGCGACGCAGGATAAACACAGGGCGACGGCGACGCGCGCTCGAACGGATCCGGGTCGTCGGAGGATCCAGTCTACTGTTGACTTAAAAAATATCAACGCGTCGGCAAGAGCGAGCCCTTTGTGGCGCGGCTTAGCAGCCGCGCGGCAGATACGAACGAGAGATACGGCACGCCTGTGATTGCTTTCCTCAATTCCGCCACGATTCCCTTCTCCCATTCGAGCGACCCTCTTTCTTCCTGCTCCCCCCTCTCTCTCTTGCTCTCTTTTGCTCGATCACTCCGTCGCGCTAATTCTCTCTTCCTCAGCCCGGTTCTCCTTTTGTCTCCGGCCGTCTGCAGCCGCGTCTGGCATCGGCCTGCCCTCTCGAGGGCCCACGGTTTCCTTTTTCCAGTCGCGAGACGAGCGCCGACGAGAACAAAATGGTGGCTGTTCCGCGGGACAAGGGCCGGGGGAGGGCCTCGTCAAGGGACACTGTCCTAGGACGAGGTATTCGGAGAAGAAATAACGGGTTTATTTACGAAATCCCGGGGACAGGAGCGCGCGGAGATGAAATCCTGCAGAGAATGGGAAGGATGGAGACGCTTTGCGACGAAGAGAATAGG